AAAGTTCGATACAATTTCTCCTTGTTTTCTTGGTCTGGGGCGGCCAACCCATTTATTTTTCGGTTTCGTTAATTAATTTAATCGATTCGCTTCAAAACATACATGATACTAAAAAGACACTTCGCATAAATCAATAAGTGAATATTTAGCATGTAAAATTCCAGTGTTGTCACGGGACAGCTTTGGACACATTAACATAATCAATCACGACAACGACCTACACAATTAGTTATGCAAAAAGTCGATTATTTCTATTTTTTCTTGTCCATTCTAATTCTAATTTAAGCGAATTTTTCCGCTCGGTAGACAATCATTACACAAACACATACCCCAGTTGCGCAATAACTGATAACAAATCGGAAATTAATCACGCGTGTAGTGCTTAATTATTAATTGACATCATCGTTATCGTCATTAGTGATCTTCGTTATTATTAATCTTTTTGTCTCTTCTTTTTTTATTATTTCATATTTTATTTTCTCCTTATATGGTTCGTTTCTTCTTTTTTTATTATTCCATATTTTATTTTCTCCTTATATGGTTCGTTTTCTTAGCTTTGCACGCTAACTCAATTCACATAGAACTCTTAGCATATCATTATCGTGTTCAATTACACATCACTTAAAAGATCCGAAGTCATCCCGAGGATAGATGAATGGAAAATAATATCATACTGACCCATCACACCCTTGGCTAGACTTTTTTTTTCGTAGTTTATGCTTAATTTAGACATTTATTTGTTGGGGTAATGATCGAGAAATTTAACTTTATTATGCAGCTCTTGTCGCATTGGTTAGTCATTGATGTTTCCGAATCATCATTTATTGAATGAATGAATGAATGGAAAGAACATTTTTTTCGAAGTTTCAGGATGCATTCAGGGTTTGAAAGAAGGGGAGCAACTTTATTTCGTGTCTCTCGTGAAACTAATAATAGTCTTAATTCTTCTTTAAATTCTTTCCCGCTGCTTTCTGGGCAAATCCATAACGATCATATTGCCCGTTGCCGTTAACTAATTAATTAATTAATTAATTAATTGGTTAATTAATTGGTTAATAAATGTTGCATGAATTTTACATCTACATCAACACGCGAGAGAAAAGTTCTGATGTTTTACCTGCTTCGAATGCGATCGTCGAACAACATATCACCCTGCATATCGTTTGGTGATACAGATGATGAAAAAAGTGGCCACACGATGATGATGAGAGGGAAAATCCTTCCCCACAACTACACCTTATCGGATCTCATCAATCAACTATGTTAGGATTTTTTGAACCCTGAAACGCATATAGCATATATACGTGGACTAGTGCTGTGTAAATGTGTACGATCGATCCCTTCTTATTTTAATGATCGACCGCTTTTCTAATCTAGTTTTAGCAGTAATGTGTGCTTTTTGAAGTCCTAACGAACACGCAGATTACTAACTTGTATTTTTTGAGAGAATTGCGTGTTGTACTTGTATCTGTATCTGTATCACACAAATAAATAACAACGAATACTCAAATCGAAATAAAGTGAATGAATGAATGGACGAACTTCAAGAACGTGAAAACAAAGAATTTCAACATCAAACGGCGCGGTGAATGAAATTGTATTAACGTGACACCACGGTACGGTAATAGGCGATTGGATAACAATGAAAGTAAACTAGACCTAAATTACTGCAATACTACATTTTCCAAGTAATGAATGAATGAATGAATGAATGAATTAGTACAAAGTACCGATACGTAAGGATCCTTTAGTTACCCGAAAAGAAATGATTAAAATGTAACGGGTAAAAAATCTAGAGCTAAAGAAAAAAAAACCTGAGGCCGACCGGTCTCCGATATCCCGACAAAATCAATATTTGATTGCAATCACATTCTTGCAGTGTGATGATTCGGGTAAGTGCATCATTGTCTTTCAGCATAAATTCCTGTCGCTCACTCTCACACGTAAATCACAACGAATTATTTGGGTTCTATTGCCAAGTATATATCGATATTATTTCACCCAGTCAGTGAATGAATGAATCAATCGTTCATCCTTTCCAACTAATCGAAATTATAAGCATCTACACACACACCATAAAACAACCCAAATCGTATCGTACATACACTCAACTGACGTGTACATGCAAACATCATATCATGCACACAAATGTGCATACACAAGTAAGAGAACGAAATCTTCACATAACAAAGAACAGAAACTATAAACATCAAGTCAACTTTTTTTCGTTAATTCACGAAATAACATAGATCGATGAAATGAAATCCATCGTAAAAATTTAATATCACCTTTTAACTTTTTCTCATATAAATAAATAAATAATAAATAAACAAGCAAGCAAGCAAAACAATAACGATAACGATAAGTGAATAATAATATATAGCAAACGTCTCATCCGATAGTTTTTTGTTTCTTCTTCAACATCAGATTTTCATCTGCTCCTGCTGCTGCTGCTGCTGCTGCTGTCATTCTTGTGATACCTTGATAGTTAGATAGTTAGTAGTATATACGTATCAATCGCAGTTGATCGTGATCTATATTTCGTATGCGTCACGTACATACAAAGCTCGAAAAAGGAAGGTAAAAAAGATAAATAAAATAAAACTCTATTTACTAATCGATATTATTTTAGTTAGTCAATGTAAGGTAAATTCTTAATATAATGTACAAAACAATAATCACATATGATTATTAGGCATTCAACATTAAACAATTACAACCAAGCTAAAACGTTATACTTACAATGAGTAGCAAAAACAACCACATTTTGATTAGACTTTTATGTCGTTTTCCTTTCGTTTCACCTTCACTATGATCATTTTATCATTTACAGTTTTCCTTTCGTTTCAATTTTACTATGATCGTTTTATCCTTTACAGTTTTTCTCTCGTCTCGTCTCGTTTCATCGTGAAAACACGCAAGCAAAGATAGGGATTGTATATTTCGCTTACTCATCCTTCCAACTAACTAACTAAAAAAGAAGGAAAAAGCCATAATTTTATCAAAAGTTGCTTCTAACTTCATTAGTCGTCAATCACACTACCCTGCATCATATTACAATAAGTATCTATAAATAAATAAATATACATGAAATTTTGGGTGAATTCCACCACACGCGACGTGCACTATTCTAAATAAATAAATATATATTCCATCAATATCTACTCTATTGCGTAAAAATCGTTAAGGAAGACGGACACACCCCATCATCACCGTCACCACCCAAGCAAACACACGTATAATCTTCCCCCATTTATCTGTTCTAACTATAATGAAAACAACGAAAACGACCCTTGGACCCCCTTGCATTTCTATTTTAACTATTAACAAGAACAACAACAACAACAACAAAAGAAAGAAAGAGATCAAAACAACGAGACATATAAACATACGACTCCTGATTCGTCGATTCATTCATTCATTCATTCATTTTATTATATTCATTTGAATTATTCACACAAGCGCATTATTATTATTATTATTATTATTATATTATTATTATTATTATTATTATTATTATTATTATTATTATTATTATTATTAAGATCAGTCATTATTGAAAAAATTATTTCACACATAGCACCACGCGCATTTTATTATTACATGTATTTCGCCACACTTCTGATAAATCTTTTTTTTTTCAGTCTAAACTTACAAATCGTCAATAAACAACAACAACAACAACATCATCATCATAGGCGAGAGAAGGAAAGAGAAAGAGAAACATATAGACCGACAGAAAGACGTACATACATGCAAACAGGAAAAGAAAGGAGTTATTTATACTCATACATATATATCCAAACTTAATATGTAGAAATGAACATTCTCAATTCCACGCATTACACAATATTTACTGATTCTAGCTCGACACCAGTTTTCTTCACCGCGCAAGATGGATTACATGATACGGAAGATAATTCGGCAATTATTTGCTGAGCCGCCACTTCCTTTCGTCCGATCATTATCTTTCTGGTTCATTGATTATTAATTGAAGACGGATAATGATGATTCAGATTAATCCGTTCGTTGCTTTTCATCTCATCCATTACTTCATATCTTCTCCACAACAACCAAAACAAATCCAACATAAACATAAACACGTATAAACACTCCCTTTGTTTATTTCTCTAATTTGCTTCCGTTTCTTCGTTCTTTTTTTTTAACCACCAGTGATAATGGACCCGAAATAGAGAGTTTAGCAAGAAATTTGAGGAATAGAAAGAGACAGGAAATAAACAAAATAACGAGGAATAAATTCATATATAATTAGTCAATACATACAATATTATAAAATATACAGTATGACATGTACAAGAAAAAAAAACGCACAATAAGTATAAATGATAACACAATATAATTATAATTGTATACAATAAATATATACGGTAAACTTTTATTATTATTAAATTGCAATTACATAAAATATAATATATAAACTCTTATCCTTTTATAATTAACGCTTTTATTCGTATTATTACTATTACTATTATTATTACTATTACTTGGCTGGCTGGCCGGTGCGTATATACTCTTTACTATTAATCTATTAATCACTAGTGGTAATAATTATAGTAAATATAATTAAATAAATAAACGGTATATAGAACACACTTGTCGTCTTTTCAGTCACCTTCACGACCACCTCCCCATCATCCATCATCAATAATAATAACAATAATAATCATCATTCAATCATAATAATCATCGCATAATTCAACTTTAAAATTTTCATCATAACTAATCGAAACTTTTTTTTTTCGCTCTTGTTTTATTTTTTTTTATCACTATCATCATCATCATTGTTAATGCTCCGTCAAGTAGACGTCAGACGACAGCAACGTCACTAACAACCTTCGAATAAATCACGACTTATCGAATACTCGCACATACGCACAAGACCCAATTTCGAGTTCGAGTTATATATAATCTCAAAAAAACAACAGCATACACCAACAAGAGCTACCACGACACAAGCCCTTCATACCTTCACAGGAAGAATGAATAATCATACACAACAGCGACAGCAGCAACAATTACAGCAATTACCACCGCCACCACCCACGACTCGATATATACAATATCTCGAAGATAACAATAATCCTAGTCCATACCAAGAAAAACCGTTTTTGAAAATGCAAAAACATCAAGGAAATAACCCGGAACCACAAACATTTACTCCAGATTTGTCGTCGGTCACAACACCACCTCTTACACCCTCACCAATTCTCGATTATCACGCGTCTTTGAATTCTTCTCTCGAACAACCGCAAAAACGAGAACTGCCACATCCTTCACCTTTGATGTTACCTTACCCATTCGTAAATACTACTAATAACGATAACAATAATGGCAATCAACCAGTACGGCTATCCTCACTACCACCGCGGCCACCATTATGGCCATCATTACTACCACCACCTTCACAAAATAATAACTTCCATGAACACGATCAAACCATAGAATCGAAATCGCGGCATCATTCTCGTAGAGGCTCCGAGAAACTGCTACTAAAAAATTCAAATGGAAAGGTCGTAAATCTATTAAATGACGACGATAATAGCAATAACGGTAGTAGTAATAACAATAATAGTAATAGGAACAGTAATAGTAATCAAGATACTTGGATGACCTCATTTGTAAGATCATCCTCGTTTGATTGCGGTTCTACGTCGTCATCATCGTCTACATATTCTTCGTCGTCTTCATCATCGGCATCACTGTATTCTGATGATGACTTTACTGCCTCGTATTTTCCCAGAGTTCGGAAATCATCATCGGTCTCTAGCAATGGTTGTTGGTCCGAAGAAAGTGGCAGTTTTCTATCTGATGAAGGAGGATATAATAATAATTGCATCAATATGAATAATAATGACGTTGGTAATAATGAAAGTATAATACAACGACCTCAATCGATTGGATTCCTCGATATCCAACAATTACAAGATCAATTATTACCTCTACAATTGAATCAACAAAGTTATCATAATAATAATAATAATAATAATAATAATAATAATAATAATAATAATAATAATATTCAACAAATTCATCACCAACAACAGCAACCGATCATAAATGATAACAATAATAAAAATAGTAATAGTAATTTAATTGCTGTCAATAATCACAGCAACAAGTCCACCTCATCGACAAAAACGACAACCACACCACCATCATCATTATTATCCACGTCTAACACAAATAAACGTAAATACGTATGCGCGTATGAATCATGCGGCAAGAGTTTTACCACTAGGTAAGAATAATTATTAATTTCCTGTTCTATCTTTTTTTCCGTATGTTTTTTGTGTAATTCCTCTTAGTTAGGATTTTTCATTTTCTTATTTTCCTTTACCACAAAACTTTCCTCCGAGGAGGAGGTGTTTGTGTATGGCGTAAATCTTAATTATTATTATTATTATTATTATTGATAAAAATAGAATTTATATTATTTTCTGTATATGTTTATTCCATGCGCATATGTTTATTACATGTATGCATGTTTTTCGTTGCGTTACATATACTTCCATTAATGTAGATTTTTTTGTTGCTTAATTTTTTCCGTTGCTCGTCGGTAAACATGAATTTTCATCATTATAACTGTCATCATCCACGACAAACACTTTTCACCCTTATTTCCAATTCATTAATTACACTAACAATAAATGACAATTTTACCCCTTCTCTTGATCCAATTTATTAATACAGATAAGAAAATATTCTCGAATCGTTATATTTTATTTATCGAACTATCAAATTTTGTTTATCTTTTTTAGATGCACTCACACATATAAACAAACAATGAATTTTTAATTTCTAGATTTATTTCTTCCTTTTATTTTTCTATGCTTCGAAATTAATTAATTTTTAATTGAAATGTCAATATGGAAAACAACGACTAACCTTAATTTTTAATTAATTAATTTCTAATTAGCGGACACTTGGCACGTCATAACAGAATCCACACGGGCGAAAAGAACTTCGCCTGTCTAATGCACGGGTGTCCATCGAAATTTTCACGACAGGATAATATGATGCAACATTATCGCACGCACACATCGTCAAAATCTCGTCGTGGATCTAAAGTCGGACAAAGTGGTGGTGGTGGTGTGATTGGCGTGGTTGATGGCATAGGAACAGTAGGAAACAAAAATCCTTGTGGATCGTTGAGTGGAAGTGGTGACGGAGGAATGGGATTCAATTCACTAAATATTAATAATATCAATAATCCTAATAATACCGGATGTATAGAAAATAATCCTTTCACTGTAAATATCCATCATCATAGTAACAATAATTTAATTAGCGAATCACCTCGACTTATACATCATAGTCAACAACAAATACAAGTACAACCACAACCACAACCACTACAACAATCATCATCTGCACAATTCGACAACCATTATCATCCGTCTCGATATTTTCCAGATTCAATGATACCGACATCACAATCTGCATTGGCATTTACGCCACCATCCCCACTTGAACCTGTATATGAAAACTATCATCACTCACATAATCATCATCATCATCATCAGCATCATCATCATCATCATCATCAGCATTATATAAATCAGCATCAAGATCAACAGCATCATGAGCATTATCAATATCATCAATCATTATCTCATAACAATAATTATAATAGTAATATTAATAATAATATAACTCCTTCTCTACCACCGTTGTTACCGATACCTTTATTGTCACCACGCAATAGTGCATTCAAACCAATATTGTTTAGTACGTAGTGTTGTTCTTCGTTGTTGTAGTTATTATTGTTCCTCCACACAAATATTTTTTGTTTATATAATTTTCGTTTTTTTCATTTTCATTTTCATTTCTTTTCATTTTTTTTTTGTTTATATAATTTTCTGTTTTTCTTTGTTTTTTTTTTTTTTGACTCGGTTCTCTTACCCTTTGTTTTTTCCTTTTTTAACTTTGTTTATTGGACTTTTTTAAATCGATCCTTCTTAGTTTGAGACTTTCTTTCTAATCGAGACAAAGAATGCTTAATCTAAAACGGAGTAGTATTATTATACGATTACTTTTGGTAATTTCCCCAATGCCTCGTATATTTTCCGCTTTATGTCTACTTAATTACTCATCTCTACATTATCATCACGAAAATCACTTCAATCACGATATTTAGTATCTTCGCCTTTTCTTCCCCTCTTCTCTCGTTTTACTCCTATTTCAACAAGTAACATTCATCATAAAAATGTAAATAAAATCCACTTGCAATGAATAAATAAATAAAAATAAATAACCATCCATCGTCTAGATGACGTTGTGACATTTACATATGTGACTATTGTTGTATGTAATCAATCCCCTGTATCGTCACACCTATCGTTACGGAGTATAAAAAGTTTGACCTCAATTATATTCTTTCTGGTTTCATATTACTCGTTTGTTAACGTTAAGTGAAACAAACAAATCCTGATCAACATTTTTTTTTCAGAAAATTACTATGATGTAATTACGTAGATATATTTACATGCAATTTCGTAATTCTAAAAAAAAATTTTTATAATCCATGATTAATTAAAAACTTGATTTTTTAAATTGTGATTGTATTTGTCAGATATGATGTCAATATGCAAAAAATAATCATCAGTAAAAGTTATTACAAACTCTTGAAAAATTCGTAGATACTTGATATGGTTCAAGTAATCTATATTCAACAATTTGTTTCAATTTTTAAAATCTTTCAACTCAAAATTCCACTGGTAACTTTGTAGAGCTTATCATAAAGAGCAAAGTTACTGGTGAAATTTTGATTACTTGGACCATATAAATGAAATAATTTCGAACAAATTATAAACTTATGAGCATACTGACTCTGAAAAAATCTATTTCTTTTAAGATAAAGCGTTTTGCTGTTATTTGGGCTTGAATAACACCTTAAAAGAGATATGGTGTAGGAACTCATAAATCGACAATATGTTTCATGTTAACATGAAACATATTGTCGATTTATGAGTTCCTACACCATATCTCTTTTCGAAAGCAAGTTTAGCAATAATCTCATCCTTTGAATAAGCATCATCCCAAATTTTATTCAAACCATAAATAAGTAAAACCATATTTAAATTATAAAAATATATAAATATCATAAAAATTTAATTTTGAATTACAAAAAATGTCCAGGAATAAGTATCACCCTATTTTTTAGACGTCGATTGAGTGGTGCTTATTTACAGTATTTCAAGTCTTTGACATAGAATTTGCCAGTTTATCAAATCTGTCGGAGAATTCACAGATAGGCTTTCTTGGCTCACAGAGCGGTCTTAGAAGCGAATTTGAGATTATGCAGTATTTCAAGTCATGGAGTATTTCCTTGAGAATACATATGAACTTTTACTTCGAGAATAATTTGTTGCAAAGCTATTATAATAGAGTGTGATAGCGAAATTTCAATTTAGGCAATGTATGGGTTCATAATAAATCTTCGAAAATTGCTGATTATTTGAATTCAGGCCTCAATTGAACCAAAATATTTGTATTTTAATTCCCGGTATGTTTTCTCAACTTAGACGGCAATAAAATCTTATCAAAATACATGGTTCACATACATTACTTGAATTTAGCGTAGAATAATAAAACATTCTAATTAAGAGACTTGTCATTCTAACTTCTATTTCAGCAAAAGTGATATGTATATAAAAAGATAGAGACTAGGTTGTAATTTATAGGCAGAAGTGGTAAAAAGACTATAAATTATAGCATATCCTCTATCTTTTCATAACTATATTATTAAAAATGAAGGATAATGCTTTACTAAGTACCAATCGATATAACATTAATTGGATTTTACTAATCATCATCGTATATGTTGTAATGAAATTAATGTTTTCCATATAAGACTGATATAGTCGAAACTTGATTAAATTTCGGCAACTTCCACGACGTCTCTCTAAGAAGCCGTTATCCACCTGCCTGCGACAATATTGAAATTGCAGTACATAGATGATATTTAAAAATAAGAGTGTTAACAATACAAAAATGGGCAACAGCCTTGCAAATTACTTTCCAAAAATGAAATTAGAAACTTTAAAAGAATAACATAGCGATGGTATTTAATCACTTTTAGACATACAATTAATTACAGTATCCATCCATTGTTTTAACAATGCTTTCTGTGAGGTGTTCGGATACACACTGATTTTCAAGGATCAAGTCAAGTCAGTCCCCTTTGACGTTTTAAGTGGCAGTTTGTCTTTTTCGGTGGCTTTTTGAATTTGTCGTTGAAGTAATCCTTCCGTGTAAATGACATCATCTCCAAAATAACTTTAGTCATCTTCGTATTTGACTTGTACGGAGGCCATTCAAAAATATTCTTCGCTATAATGGGATGACGTTTTATTTCTAAAATCTTTACTGAAATTTTTTTGAATGGATGTCATTTTCTTTTTAAAATATTTTCCGGATGCTTTGGAAAATATCCACTAACACAAAATGCATGTGCTGTCAAATACAATGATTTGATGCATAAGGAGATTTTTTAAATAAAATGCGACGCTTTACACAAGTGAGAAATTCAGTGTCCACAAAAACTACGTTTCCTACGACGACATTATTGGAAAAAAACGAACATATTACAGAAAAATTACTGTCGTTGATAAAGTATGAAAGTGGTCGGCTTTTGTTAATGACTGGTGCAGGTGCGCTTCATGTAAAGGTAAACTTTTTTAGTCGTTTTTCCTTTATCTTTATCCAGCTTTTGATTAAATGGAAAAACAGGTGTGAGTACTGATTCCGGGATACCAGATTATCGTGGTCCAAAAGTAGGCTTTTATTTTCGATTTTTTAAATGTATGTATGCATTTTGTAATAATTTTTTTAATACTTATATAGGGGACATATACTGTAAATAAAAATTATAAGCCAACTTATTATCAGGAGGTAATTACAAGTGAAGTCATTTTTGAATAAAAATACAATTTTAATTAAGGCCGTATAATTATAAAGTTTGCAGCCCATCATCATATCCGTCAACGTTATTGGGCAAGATCCTATTTCGGTTGGCCACGGATGCAAAGAGTAAAGCCAAATTCAACCCACTTTGCCTTTGCAAAACTTCAATCACTTGGCCATATTCAAGAGATTATAACACAGAACGTGGATGCTTTACATCAAGCAGCCGGTTCACACGATATTCTAGAATTACACGGCACCTTACATCAAGTTCATTGTATGCAATGTGGTCACATTAATTCGAGGATCGATCACCAGAAAATATTGAGTGAATTAAATCCCGCGTGGGCTGAATTCTTAGAACTTGTCGAGCACACAAAAGAGCGCCCAAGGTTAAATCCTGATGGTGACGTCGAGTTGCCTTCAAACGTTTCTTATGAAACATTCAAATATCCACCCTGTGAAAAGTGTCACCAAGGAATTTATAAACCATCTTTGGTATTCTTTGGCGGGAATATTAGTGAAAATGTGAAAGAGCGTTCGAATGATATGATTTTGAGGAATGATTCTGTTTTAATCGTGGGGTCTACGTTGACAACGTATTTCGCTTTCAAACTAGTTAAATTGGCCAAAGAACTGGGCAAGAATGTCGGAATTATCAATCTTGGCCCAACTAAGGGGGATGATCTTGCAGACTACAAGATCGAAGCACACTGCGGAAAAGTTATACCTGCTATTGCAGATTATCTTTCGATGGGACGTTGAAATTGGATAGAATCGTGAATAGAAATAATTTAATTTTAAAAATGTATTTTTACAAATATCAAAAATTTTCAAAACGAGTAAAGTTTAGGCAGCTCAAAACTTGGAAATATCTCTCCCGAAAATAGATCGCTTTTTAAGGAAATTACCATTGCAAATAATTGTATTAGGAAACAATATGCACGTAAAAACATAAGTATATAATTGATATTAAAAATACGTACTTTGGTCCAATCCAAAGCGAGTAGAGCTCGAGTACGAAATGAGACTTGCTCACTAAAGTAGACACTTCTCCACAAATAAACAGCGGATAAACCACCCATCCAAGTCCGCCCCGTACCAAAGTCTGCCACTGCCGCGTTACCAATATAAGCGAGTGACCCTAAATGTGCATAACGGAAAGCTGGCAATTCGTTTTCCAAATCTTGTGATGAACCATCAGCAGCAGTAATCTTTGTCGCAAATTTATTTAATTTTCGGCCAAGATACTTTCCTAAAATATTGAAATTTAAATTATTTTCAAAAATTATAAAATTTCATAAACGGTTTTTACCTTGTTGATGTGCTACTTGTGCGGTCTTCAATATCAAATTAAAGTAATTTAGGTATGTGTCTGATCTAAAATTTCATAGAAAATATGAACCAACTAATATTATTTTTAAAATTGAACTAGACTTACCGCAGGGAGTGAAGTTAATTTTTTGTCAATGTCTTTAAACATTTCTTGCAACTCATCTAATTCAAGAGTGTCTAAGGAAAAGATAGAACAATTATCCAAATGAATTTTTAATGATAAATTAAATTGTTTGCAAATTAAAATACCGCTTTTGTCTTTGTCGTATTTCTCAAAAAGATTGGATGCTTTTCTCAAATGACTTTCCGTAACCGGATATTGCACAGAAATCTTTTTAGCCAACTGGTTAAATTCTCCGTGATCCAAAGATCCACTGCCATCCTCATCAGCATCAATGAAAAATTGCATCAACTGCTTTACTAGGTTTGGATTCTCGACTGTTGAACAATCGCCAATTGCATAGACTGACGAATCATTGACGCCTTTTAAACGCAATTTACCATCGGTAATAAGCGCACGAGTGTTTTTCTGTTCTGGAAGCTTCTCAGATATAGCTTTTGTCAACGGATTCATCGCTATAATCAATATTAAGGATGAATAAAAGAGTTATCTATCTGTTCTATCTGTTTATGGATATCTATTTGAACAGAACTTAGGATATAAAAAAAATATAATTACCAATGCCGGTTGACCATAATACTAAGCCATAAGGTTGTTCTATTTCTTGTCCGGTCAACTTGTCTTTGTATACAATATAGTCCTCTTTTATTTTGGAGACTCGAGCATTGGTGATAACGTTAATATTATCACGCTTAAATTTTTTCTAAGATGAAAAGGAAGAGATTCTAGAGAGTGTTACGAATATAACACTATGTTTAATACTTATATTTACCTCGGCAAAAACACTTATTTTCGCGTCATAAGTGTTTAAAATATGATCTTGACTCTGAATTATAGTCACCTTTACTTCATTTCGTAGAGCTCTGGGGAACTGAAGCGATGTCAATTATAGTACAAAAGTAGATAAGAATTTACAACGACTCACATATTTCACAAGATCCTCGATCAAAAAATCGTAAAGTTCAGCAGCGAACTCGACACCTAGTAATAATAGAAAAAATGCATAAGTGCTTAAACAAAACGAACGTTTGCTTAATCGTAATAAATTTTGAGTGTAAAAAATATTCCAACCAGTCGGTCCTTATCAAGTCATCCAAACAGGATAGAAAAAGGATAGAGAGACATATATAGAGACATATATAGACATTCAATCTTTAGTAAAAAATCTGATATCAGAAGAAATTTAAGCTTTAATTAAAGAAAACAACCTTCCCAATAAATAACAATAAATAATGACAGATACCTCCACCGCACACAACAAAACTTAAAAGTTTCTTTCGCTCTTCGGATGACGTAGTTGGCAGGGCCGCCTTTTCTAAATTATCCATAATAGTTCTGCGAAGTTTCCGAGCATCTTGGATAGTCTTCAGAAAGTGACAATACTCAATTCCTTCCACTCCATAAGTCATCGATTGAGAGCCAACAGCAATGACAAGCTATGAAAGTGAATTAGACGAGATTTTCATAGTTTAAATTTAAATTGCATAAAGAATAAATAAAAAACAAACCTTGTCATATGGGACATAGAAGGATTTTTCAGAATCATCACCCCGTTTTACTTCTACTAATTTATTTTCAAAATCGATATCAATGGCCTTTGCCTCTATAAAATGTCCATGAATTTTTCTTAAGATGCTTCGAATAGGCTCCAATATGGATCTAAGTAAAAAGAAATACATGATACTAATGAGCAAATATATTAAATTTTTCTGCCAGTGAATTTTTTTTAGTGAGACCTAATATGGTGCGATCGTGACACTTTTTCGGATATTAAAAATTGCTTAATTGTTTACCTAGATTCGAGAGTTCCTACGCAAGATGAAGGCAAGAGAGGAGTAAACCTTAAGCCAAGGAAAATATTAAGAAATTAGTAATTGCAAGATTAAAATATGAATTTAAAAAAAAGAAAGGGAAATTTTAACTTACAAAAAGTAATTCCTTAGTTATCCAAAAAATGTATTCTATTTTAATAAATTAAAAAAGAATCGACGAGATCTAATTTATATAACTAACTCACTGTGGAGAGATCGCTGTCACGTAATATTTATCTTTTTTTAGTTCTTTCAAAACTGAAACAGCCTATAATAGAATAGCAAACTATCAACAAACAGATTTCTTATTAAAATATTAAAATACATATAACAGATAAAATAGAACATTAGCGCTGCATACCCCCCACCCGGATCCTAATATTACTAATTTCGGTTTATCGGCCTCATAATCCATTTCGTCAGTCAAATGTAGCGCTATAGGCAAATTTTTTGGTCCTCCCGTCGGACCACAGGCTACCAGTTCTTTTATCTGATGTTTCTCTTCCTCTGCTTCTCTTCGTTTGCTCTCCAAACTCAAGAGAACTGTTCCGCCAGCCAGCGAAGCAGCAGATACAGCTAGTAACTTTAACCAAAAATTAAGTTTACTATTTTTGGTTGGAGCACTAGCAGCATTAGTAGTTTCATGTCTTTTTGAAACTCCGAACTTAGGTCTCGGAAGAGCCGAACGAACTGTGAAACTTTGGCTCACGGAAGTAGTCTTGATCTCTTTTTGAAAAGACTTTTTTCTAGGATACAATAAAACATTATTGCCACGACTTAGAAAATGACGGTGTTTAACTCCATTCTTTATATTTTGGAAGCCAAACATGATGAAATAACGAAACTACCAAATTAAGCAACAGTTTATTTATCGTTATCATAACGATAATGTTACATTAATATTTATGCTTACAGTACTCAATACACGAGGGTGTTGAGAATTCCAAGAAGAAAAACAGGGATCCCAAAATTTTTTGGTGCATCAAATACACCAAATTAATCGGTTTCTTCTGTATGTTAAAGTATAATTCTGTGATTTCATTTAATTCTTGTTACACAAAACGCCACCTTCAATCAATATAAGGAGATTGACTCTTCACACCACCCTCTAAACAATAACAAAATGTCAGACAACAGCAGTTTTGATTCTGATGGACCTGGAACTACTTTTCACGCACCACTCTCACATTCGATTCCCAAGCTAAAACTTTTTGGACCAGCTAAACACTGTGCCGGCTGCGGTAAAAAGTTTTCTTTGATAAGGCTAAAGTACAATTGCAAGAATTGTGGTAAGTTTAGAGATAGTTAATATCGAGTTATCGCATTGACGCAAACTTACACTCTAGCAATTTTTAGGGAACGTGGTCTGTAATCGTTGTTCTGAGAATCGGTTTGATCTTACAAGGTTTGGTCATTTCAAGTAAGCACTTTAATTTTGGTTCTATAAATATATCTACTTCTTTATTTGGTGAGATATATCTATTTCTTTATTTGGTGAAAAATATTGAATTTATTTCCTATTGTAATATTAAGTCCAGCAAGGGTTTGTGATATATGTTGTCAGGCTTTGAATAGTAAGTGATAAATTTCTTGTTCAACTTAATCTATTTGCTAATACACGGTAACTAAATAATCAATTTCTTATTGTATACAAGTATCATCAATGAGTCGTAATGAGCTATGCAAATTGACGACTAAAACTCTACGAGACTTCATTATGGCATTTGATCTTCCACGCAAAAATATCATCGAAAAAAGTGATATAATCGACATTATTATCTCAAATAGACCTATGCCCGAGCGAAATGAAATTTACTTTAGAGCAAATATCCCAATAGCCAAACCAGAAAATGGATCAAATGATGATGGAGTCGCAAATGGCAATAATTCAAATCACCAAGGAAATCGCTCAACATATAACACCAGTAGCAACGGTAGCAATAACAACAGCAATTACAACCACAATACCCACAATAATTATCAGAACAATAACCGCAATAACTATAATAGTAATAATAATAATAATAATAACAGCAGCAGCAGCAGCAATCGCAATAACAATAATAATAACAACAATTCAAAAAGATTCACAGGAAATTCATCACAAAATAGTAACAGATCAAGGAGGCCGAATAATAATAATAATAATAATAGTAATAATAATCAGAATAACAATAACAACAACAACAATAATAATTCAACGGGAAGAAATAATGAAGATCACAATTACGATCAAGAAGAAAGTTCAGTATCTTCATTTTTGAATATGCAGATGGTTGATAACGTAATTGATCAATTTATCAGTCAAATTACTAACACGCACACTTCATCTAATAATCGACAAGCCTCTCAAAATTCCAACAGCAACAGCAACAACAACAACAACAACAACAACAACAACAGCAACAGCAACAACAGCAACAACAGCAACAACAACAGCAATAATAATAATAACAACAACAGCAACAACAATAACAACAACAACAACAACAACAACAACAACAACAACAGCAACAGCAACAGCAATAATAACAACAATAACAACAGGAATAACAACAATAGCAACAACAATCGTCCAAATAACCGCACTAGAACCAGCTATCCTATTCCACCACCACAACACCGGCGTACAGATATAAATGAAAATCAACAATTCAGAAATTCGTCGTCTTCTCGAACACACGCATCTCAAACTTCAAATCATACAACGACGTCATCTCAACCAGAGCTAAATAATAATATACCTGTTGGGACGCCTTCAATCGAGGATATCGTAAAGAATAAATATAATGTTTCCAAACTTTCGATTAAAAGTCTTAAAGAAATTCTCATGGAAAATCGTGTTGATTTTTCAGGAATTGTCGAGAAATCTGAACTTATTTCAAAGGTGAATCGTGTGGTCGAGGCTACAAAAGAAGAGTTGGCTACTGATGTTGACGCTCTTAGTGATGACGCATTATGCAAGATTTGTTGTGATGCTGTACAAAATTGTGTTATTTTGGATTGTGGTATGTTTTGTTATTTCTTTATTTTTGATATATGAGTTTGTATTTTCTTAACACCATTTTTTATAAATAATAATAGGTCATATGAGTACTTGTATGGATTGCGGGAAAAAGATGCAAGAGGCAAGAAACGAATGTCCAATTTGTAGAGAAACGATTGTTAAACTTGTCAGAGTATATCGGGCCTAAATCTACTAACAAACATTTTATAAGTTGAGCGCAATATGCGTAATTAACTTCTGTTATATATATCAATTACTCAATGATTAAATCTTGGATATTATTATCTTTGTTATATGTTAAAAATAAAGTGGGGGTATTTAGCATAGTCCCTAAATTGTTATAGAAATGATAAGATTTAATAAATTTTTCGAATGCAATGAGTGTACCGAAAAACCGTTCTTGTTGAGTTCTATTTTATTACTGTAAAAACAATTCTAATTAAAAGAAGACACAATGACAAGGCTACCACCTGTCATTATGGATAATGGGACCGGGTAAGCTTCTTTATCCGAGTCCTTTAGGAGACTGATAAATTGATTACATAACCTATCTTTGTTAATTTGTATTAATTAGCTATACAAAGCTCGGCTTCGCAGGAAATAATGCACCGTCGTTTGTTTTTCCTACAGTAATTGCTACTCGGGACGCCTCAAAACGCGGAATCGAAGATTTAGATTTTTTTATTGGCAACGAAGCATTATCAAATTCGAAAACTTATGGACTTCATTATCCTATTAGACATGGACAAATTGAAAACTGGGATTACATGGAACGATTTTGGGAACAGAGTATTTTCAAGTATTTGAGGTGTGAGCCAGAGGATCACTATTTCCTTTTAGTACGTAGATCAAAATATTCTCCATGTTTAAATAAATGATCGATTTACGAGCAAAAAAATATCGTAATCCTAAGTTGTTGTTTAATTTTCCGAATCAAGACTGAACCACCTCTCAATGCACCTGAGAACCGAGAACAAACAGCGGAAATCATGTTTGAATCATTCAATATTCAGGGTCTTTATATTGCGGTGCAGGCTGTTTTGGCTTTGGCTGCAAGTTGGACAACTAAAGAAAAAAAAGATTATGTATTGACTGGGACAGTAATTGACAGTGGGGATGGTGTGACACACGTTATACCGGTGGTACGTGTTTATCATTAATTGATTTAAGGCAATACCTCGATCAATTCAAATAACCTAACTTATCCTTGAATTTATTAAAGGCAGAAGGCTACGTTATAGGGTCTTCGATTAAACATATTCCAATCGCGGGACGTGACATCACTTACTTTGTCCAACAGCTTTTGCGGGATCGAAGCGAAAATTCTATCCCTAAGGAAGATTCGCTTAAAGTTGCTGAAAAAATCAAAGAACAGTTCTCGTATGTTTGCCCAGACATTGTAAAAGAGTTTCAGCGTTATGACCAAGAGGGTGACAAATATTTTCAAAAATATAACGGAGTGCATAGCGTTACTGGAAAAGTATGTATCGTCAATACGAATATAATCAAGATTTTGTCTTCATAAATACAATATGTAACGAATTATAGTGTTTTAGTCATATGAAGTCGATGTTGGATTTGAGCGTTTTCTTGGACCGGAAATTTTCTTCAATCCAGAGATAGCTTCATCGGATTTTCTGACGCCAATTCCTGAAGTAGTAGATAATGTCATTCAGTCTTGTCCGATTGATACGCGTCGAGGATTATATAAGGTATTTTCTAAGAGAGAGTTTCGTTATCGAAGGTTGTAGATTGATATTTTTTTATTAAATTTATTTAGAATATTGTATTATCTGGAGGTTCTACCATGTTTAAAGATTTTGGAAAACGTCTTCAGCGTGATATCAAACGCATAGTGGATCTTCGTGTTAGAAAAAGTGAGGAGTTAAGTGGAGGATCACTCAAGGTATTTAACAAGAGAAAAAATGATATTGGATTTCTATCATGCTTCGTTAAATTTAAATCTTTATAAAATTTAGGCAACTGCAGTAGACGTCAATGTTGTATCTCATAAAAAGCAGCGTTACGCTGTTTGGTATGGTGGTTCCTTACTAGGACAAACGGTATATCAATCAATCATTCATAAAAACAATATTTTTTTCATCTATTGATTCATTTTATTAACAACAATTCCTCTTGATTCTTCAGAGTGAATTCTATTCCTACTGCCATTCAAAAGCTGAGTACGAAGAACGCGGTCCTAGTATTTGTCGACATAATCGTGTTTTTGGAAGTTTAAATACCTAATTTTATATTAATCATCATTCTTAAAAAATTTAATTTAAAAACATTGACATCGAATGATAGTGATAGATAAATTATATTTCTTATTTATTGTGTATGTACCTAGATTAATCAAAATGTTTTTGTGACTGTTAATAAGCAAATAAATATTTATTGGAAAGAAATTTTGAATAATATATATTTAAATCTCAATATTGTTATCACTTTGAGCTTTTATGTATGAAAGTATTTCAAAATGGCAATATAACTGTGTTCATGGCAATTTGCTTTAAATTTATGAATAAATAATATTGTTGTGATTAGATATTTTCATAATCACAAACGATCATCTTACATGATCGCTTTACATGATCACTTCACATGATCACTTTGAATGATCATTCCAAATGATCATTCCAACTGATCATCTCAAGCACTCTGAATGATCATTGCAAATGATCATTCCAAACAATCATTTCAAATGCTCCGAATAATCATTCCAAATGATTATTTTGTAATTATCAAATACTTATAAATACAGCTTGTATCTTAACTTAGAAAAATAATTAATTCAATTCAAGTTTAGTTTTTATTTTTTTAATAATCCTTTAGATAGTATTTTCATAATCTCTTGTCTTAATTGCGAAGTTATTTTTGTATTTGTTTTATAATCTCTTATAAGGATGCTTGCCTAAATCCTTTCAGAAAAATATCGTCATAATTTCGACAGGTTATACACTAATTGTTAATTAGAA